GTTTAGAATAAACCGGTCCGACAAATATTTGGGAAATTCAACCCCCGAACCATCTTTGCCTTAGCGACATCCAATTTGGTAGGCTGATCAACCTTGAGAAGTCCCACAAAAAGCCTTGAGAAGCCATGGCAGAAAGACACTGGAAGTCTGCCATTTTGCTTCAGATGTAAAAAAAATAAAAAATCTAAAGTGGTTCAGTGCATCGCAGGTTTGAGAGCGCTGCGACCGGTTTCCCACCTTCTTGAAGACGACGGGTTCCTCATCCCACACCGGGTTGACGGCATTGTTGTTGGGCGAGGTTTTGGTCTTCAGAGCTTTCCTCCTGGTGTCAGCAGGAAGCCCAAACATCTCCACTTCCACGTAGACGCCCACCCTGCGCTCGGTGAGGAATTGGCCCGAGATCACCTGAAGAGCACGGCGTGAAAACCACGTGACGCCGGCGCTCTTCCCAACGGAGGCGAAGATGCTGCCGACCGGCCGACCTTGACGGAGAGCGTGTTGGCTACGATACCGTCCACCGTGTTCTCCGTGAAAGGGTCAAAGTGTTTGTCCGGCCGCCGCATGAACTCGGGCTTCAGCCGGTAGCCGCTGCGACCGTTGTACTCAAACATGAAGAGGTTCAACTGCATGGACAGATCTGCCACAAAGAGTTTCTGGTCGGCCTCGGACCGCGGCGTGAAATTTGGGAGGCACGGCGACTACAAAGTCTCAGTTAAGTCGGCTCTTTGGATCAGCTTTCTTCACAAACAAAGTGGTCCGACACATTTTGGAAAACCCAGGTTGCCTTGGCAACAGGAGATTTGGTGGCCGTGTCTATCCGAAGCCACGCTCCAAAAGACATGGGAGGTCTGCCGTTTCGCTTTTGAAGCGGCCATTTTCGGCTCTTTCAACGACGACCTCAAAATAAAAGAGCAGAAAATGTGCAAACCCTCGCCTCCAGCTCACCTACGGTTTGATAATTGAGAGCCACCAGTTGACAGCCGCTGTTCCAGAAAAGCTGCGGCATGAAGTTGGACGAGTCCACTCTGGTTCCTTTGGGATAAATCCGACTCAGCTGGGATTTATTGTATCTGGTTGATGACGGGTTAAGAAGCGGCGGTCTTATGTTGGACAATTTCGAGCCAAGCTTGAACTCGAACAAACAAATACAGCCGCCGGCGACGTCGGTCGATACTGTACGCACTCCAATGAGATCCACACGGGAAAATTGGGTTTACCAAGATGATCGTGCTTTGAGTTTCCCCGCCGGGAGGTCATCGCTGAATCGCAGCGATTGGCTCATTGCTGTGCCTGTGCGACATCCTACCGAGTGCTGTCCAAGGATAGCTCACTGAATGCGGCAGAATTCTCAACACATGGCATGCCTAATATTATGTCCT